ATAACAGCCTCACGAGGAAGAGAAACCTCACACTGAAAACAGGAAGCAAACACTATCTCTGTGTGTGTGTGTGTGTGTGTGTGTGTGTGTGTGTGTGTGTGTGTGTGTGTGTTGTGTGTGTGTGTGGTGTGTGTGTGTGTGTGTGTGTGTGTGTGGTTAAAAGCAGGATGTTGCTGATCTGCTGAACCACATGTATCCAGATAAGGATCTCTTCAAGAGAGGATACAGTGTGTGTGTGTGGTGTGTGTGTGGTGTTGTGTGTGTTGGTGTGTGTGTGTGTGTGTGTGTGTGTGTGTGTGTTCTCCTCTTAAACACTTCCCACACAGCTCAGGGTCAGTCACTGGCAACGGACAGTTAGTTTATAGCTACATCAAATACACAAACTGATTATGAAAAGTCTGACACCTATAATAAAGGACTAGACACCCGTAAAGATACACACAAAAAACAACAATATACAAAAGTCAACAACATAGAGACTGAACATAGAGACTGAACAATGACTACAAAAGACACCAATTACCTACAAAGTGAAGACCAAGAGAAATCACCACACAAATACACAACCCCAAGAGCCGGGTTGCAACAGATGCAAGTCCAATTTCAGACTGACCATTAAAGTATTATCGTATCTGTTGGGAAAATACTGAACGTCCTCTTCCAATGAGAGTAACATGATAACAAAGGTATCTCAACTGTAGCTGTGAACATGACAGGATGTGTGATGACCTAGAAGAGCATCAGGACTGTTTGAGGCAGATGATAGCTATGTGATTAACATGATGATTCAGCCTCTATGGAGAGAGACTCAAGCATGCTCATTTCTGACGTGGAGCTAATCTGAAGTAAACATTGAATACTGCTTTCTATTCCTCCATCTTGTGACTGTGTAACTCCCTCTCTTGATATCAGCATGTGAAGGACACTGTTCAGGAACTAGTTGATGCTCTGTATGTGATGACTACTTCCATTCTGGAGAGGATCACAGACACATGGATCCTGAGGTTGAAGCTCAAGCCGGGGACCAGGGATTATTAACATTTTGAAGTATTCAGGAAAAGTGAGAATTTTGAGATTTTTAGAAAAAGTGAGAATTTTGAGATTTTTAGAAAAAGTGAGAATTTTTAGATTTTTAGAAAAAGCCAACATTTTTAGAAACAACTCAGTATTTTGTACATGACAACCGGTACCCCTCCATCTTGTGACTGTGTAACTCCCTCTCTTGGATATCAGCATGTGAAGGACACTGTTCAGGAACTACTTGATGCTCTGTATGTGATGACTCCATTCTGGAGAGGATCACAGACACATGGATCCTGAGGTTGAAGCTCAAGCCGGGGACGAGTGATACTTTTCTAACACGTATGGTGTTTTGTGCTCAGAGTGAGTGTACTCACGGAAAGCTGGGCAGCGAGCTCCACAGATGTGGATCCAGAGGCCGAGGCGGTCAATTCTCCGGGGATGGAGATCGGGTCCGGAGACACCGTCAGCGTCTTCAGGACCGCTGGAGCATCGGGCTGCCCGCAGTTCTTCCAGTCGAAACCCATAACCTACACAGACACATGCAAAAGTATTCAAGTTTCAAGGTTTTATTGTCACAGTGTAGATCTGACAACGAGAAACCAAAGTCACAGGCTCCTCCAACAGTGCAAGTTGTGCAACATGAATATATATAGGACGTAAAACAAATAAAACGCACTTGTTATCATATTTGAATTCACTGAAAGTCCCACCCCCTGACTAAGTCTCTATGTCCCGCCTCTAGTTATCCTTTTTTATTTGATCTTTTCTTTGTGTTTGAATTCATGTGTTATTCTTTGTATTAATTGTTGGTGTTCTTTGCTCTTTGTCATGTGACATGTATCAGGATGTGTAAGCGATGCCATGCTGTGACCAACTTTGCCGTTCCTGTGAAGGTGGGAGGATTCGTTTGTTTTATTGTAACAAAAGAGACATTTCCTGTAATAAGAAAACCAAAACCAGGAAATGTGAATATTGTCTGATACATCTGCACTCCTAAATGAATCAATTAAAACAACTAAAACAATAATAATAATAATAGTGTAAGAGAATGTATTGAGATGTGAATGAAATAGAAAGAGTGCAAGACGAGTCCATACAAGTCCAAGGAATGATATATTTAAGCGGCACGACAGGCCGTGTCGATGGTCATTATCTCACAGCTCAGGGGCGTGGTTCGTATCTTAAATGCGTTTATCGTCTACATATCTTTGCCATTTATTTACCCCTAACCCAATAAGCTGCTGTGTCGTTTATTGCACCGCAAACATTGGAACGGCGATCAAGCCTGAAGCCACAGAGCTCTTTGTTTGAATGTTGAGGTGTAATATCAGAGTATCATATGCACGCTAAATCGGACTTCTGCGTATCTATTGCACGCCTTTGCAAAGTCGTGTCATTTGTGCGCAGACTGTGTTGGTTTTATTGATCATGCCTTGTGTTAACATGGTTATATATTTGTTTATTTGAGATTGATAGCATGGTCAAAACAAGGACCTCTGTTAGTTGATGATCACATGATGTCTTGTGAATGAAAATAAGTGATCAATCAATGAGAGGTCGATTTATCATTTCGTATCTTCCTTTAGGATCAGGACGTACCAAGAAGGGGGATTTAGGTGTAGAAGCAGTACAATATAAACAATATAGTCTAATATAATATAAAAGCGATATGGTATAGTTAAAGAACACAGTTGAAAGGTTACTGAAGAACCTTGTCCCCTTTAGATAAGCCGTATTTCTTTAAGTCAATCATCTGTACATAGGTAACTAATGTTTACATTCAGGTTACAGATGAAATGTGAGTGTAGCCTAAAGATGCCTGGACAGAGGATAATGTAATTATTAGCAGTTGTATGGTAGTATTAACAGTATTATTGTATCATTAGCATTACTATTGTGGCCTTTTATTAGTAGAAGTATGGTATTGTTTCCTGTATTAAGGTTTTATTAGCAAGTTGGTATCATATTATTAGAAGTATTATAGTACTGCAGTACTGCCGTATTATTAGCAATATAATGGTAATTTTAGCAGTAGTATGGTATTATTAGCAGTATTATGTTAGCAGTACTATGGTATTATTAGCAGTATTATGTTAGCAGTACTATGGTATTATTAGCAGTATTATGTTAGCAGTACTGTGGTATTATTAGCAGTATTATGTTAGCAGTACTGTGGTATTATTAGCAGTATTATGTTAGCAGTACTGTGGTATTATTAGCAGTATTATGTTAGCAGTACTATGGTATTATTAGCAGTATTATGTTAGCAGTACTGTGGTATTATTAGCAGTATTGTGTAATTATTAGCAGTAACAGTGGATTAAGCCGTTATGTAGAGTTATAATGCCAGTATTAATATACATCTCACCTGAGCCTTGCTGACTCTCCTCAGACTGAGGAGCTGTAGTTTACCTGAGTTAAAAACTAAAACCAGGCTTAACGTGAGAAACAAACACTTTGTCCATGATGGTCTTCTCTGAGGCAGCGGACACAACCCGGAGGAGAAACAACTAATCGCACCGGTAACAGGAGCGACTCTGAAGTACATACACTTCCGTGTTTAGTTTACTATCACACCGGACCCAGGTCACGTGATATAGGCAAGTCTTACGCTGTGACGTCTTTTATAAATTAAAAAAATATGAATGCAATGTTTTATAAATTCAGATTCCTACTTCTTCTGTATTTTCTTCCATTGTAATAATAAACAGGCCTATCATGTTAATACAATTGAGAACCTGTAGATGTAATGACATGTAATCTCCTCTAGATGTCACTGTAAAACAGCCTTTCGCACACGCACAAGCACACACCACACACCACACACACTCACACACACACACACACACACACACACACACCACACACACACACACACCACACACACACACACACACCACACAGTCACATTGCATTTTAATACTCAAAATATTAATATTTGGTATGGAAACATTAGCATATTTATTCAATAACTTCCAGGTCAAGTGACCTAATGACTCAAAATCAGTGATGGATAAAATAACTACACAGGCTGTATACTAATACTTTGTAAGAAGTCCAGATCATGGATGTATAATATGAGCTAAATACAGTTTCTAAGTACATTACTTGAGTAAAAATATTCAACAGTGATGTATGTTAAAAACTGGTAGGAACCTTTACTTTTCACTGCCGCTGTTGCCACACGGACTCAAATGCCACACGGACATCACTACAATCGGCTTTCTGTTTGATATGTTTCCACCGTGAAATTACCGTTAGATATTATCTCTACCGGTTCTGTGTGCGTGTCATTACATGCACTTCTTAAATCAATCGTTAACGGACACTCGGTGGCGGACAAAGCGGACCAAAAAACGGGGAGACATTGGAACCCGGAGCTTTGGAACGTGAGAACCGCTACATGCTACGTGTACAGTAATAACAACCTGGAGGCCGGAGCGCTGGTTTTAAAAAACATGGATTATTTTCTTATTTTGACATAAATAAGCAGATGATTTCCAGCTGTAACGTGCCGGGGGGGTTTGGGTGGAGTTAGCAGAAAGTTAGAATGGAAGACAATGTGAAAAAAGATGAAGCATTAATGTGAAAAACTACTTTTCCCTTTTTGATTTTGAAGAGTTTTTTTAATTTCGACGGAAATCTGGGTTTTAAAATGATGTACTCATCCAAAAGAAAGCCTGTCCTCTACTTCAAAGAGGAGAGAAGGTAAGAGGGATATTGTTTTTATTATCAATATTATCAATTCTTTGATTTTACATTTATTCATTTTTGTTTTTAATTCTATATATTATTTACATTTTATTGTATTTTTACTACACAGTTATATATTTATTACATTTTTTAAGGTGATATTAATCTCAGCCATAGTTGCTACACCATTCTCTCTTTTATTTTTTACAATTTTTACATATTATATGTATTACTTATTTTTTGTTATTTTAATATTTATTATTCATTTTCTTGTAATTTTTTGTTGTATTTTTATAATGATATTTAGCGTTCTTTTGCTAAATATTTGTATATATTCTTATATACTGCTTCACAATGGTTACTTCTTCGTGTCAGTACATTTATTTATTATTATATATTATTATCCACATTAATATGTTTAAAATATATTTGTATTTGTTTTAATATTCAGTATCTGCAAACTAACTTAAGAATTAAGCAAATATAATGCTGTAGATTAACCTTTTCAAATAGTTCGTAGGCGCTTTCACACCGGAGTACTTTTCCCAGGAATAGTTCCGATAGTTCCTGGGATTTTGCGTTCAACTTTTTTTCAGGAACTTCCCCCCCCCCCCCGCATTAGCATTATTAGCATTAGCCCAGCGCACCAACAGAGAGAGACTAACTTATGAAAACACAAAATAAAACGTGGGAGCGGTGGAGTGATGAGTAGGTGTCGGCGCTTCTGGCGATTTACCCGGGAATTGGCAGTAAATCGCCTCCCGGAGTCCGGGACTTCAGGTGGCAGTATACGCCGTGAAGTTGTTTTCGGCCTGCCAGAAGAAGAAGAAGTGACGTCAGCGGCTTCATTAGCGTAATCTTCCCTCAGGGAACTTATTCCGGTCTGCTCTTAGTTCTGGAACTAAAGAGTTCCGGGGAATTAGGTTCCGGGAACTCTTCCTGTATCTTCCTGTGAAAGCGCCTCTTCAGTCCAAAACAAGCGTTAAAGAGAAGAAAGGAAGTATTAAGTTATTAAGCAGTAAAAAACAATTTCTTTGGCCTTTTTTTTTTTTTTAAAGAAATGAGATCTCTAAAGTCGCTCATCCACCAGATAAGTGAGTAGAGACTGTGGATCATTATTGCATGGCGTTGATAAAATCACTACAAATATTAGAGATTTCTGTGTTGCGTCTACATCTTTATAGAAGTCTAAAGACACATAAGCTGCTAAATACTCCGCTATGTTCCCTAACTAGGCTCTGATTTTTTTTAATGTATTTTATCGTAATAATATTTCTCAGAATAGCTCAATGTGTTGGTGAGAGCCTGAAGACTCAATCTTTTAGCACAAGTAGAAACATAACTTCCAGCTACGAGATGCTGAGAGGTTAAGTGTTGGATTTGATATCGTTTTATGACACTGATGATTATCTAAAAGCATAATATTGCAACTTTTAATTATTAAGAAAATTCTAAATTCAAATTTGGGAAAAACGATAAAATATCATAAATAAATGAAATATATAAATAAAATAACTATAAACAATCGAGTTAATCAGAGTTCATTGATGTGGCTATAAAGGAATTCTGTGAACGTTATTTTCTGCATTTTGTATTTATTGAAATATTTTTAGATTTGATGATAAAGGCTTTTTTTAAATGTAGGTTAGGGTTCCTCGAAAGTGTGGGAACATTTGAATTGTACTCCTAAAAAGCTCCACTTTTAATTTGAAAAGTGACAATGCATAAAGAATATTAACCTTAATTAAAACAAGATGTTTATGTACACGGTTTTGAAAAATAAATTCTCTCCGTTGTCCCTTCACAGGTGTGCGGAAACATTTGAAGATATATTCCTTCATATTTAATAAAAGCTATAGGAAACAATCAAGAATTAAAAAAGTGTCTCTCGATGCATGTCAGTGTGTATCTGAACTAAACATTTGATTAAATGTAGGCTGTATTTAAAAATAAAATAAAAATCACAGTGCTCTGGAGTGTTGTTAATATGTGTAAAAAACGTTTCTCTGCATATTAAATAATTTCCTTTGATAATTTTTTTTAATTAAATGTCAGTATGTGTTTATTTTGTTGAGTTTCTTTGTTTTTCTGCACCTCTGCACTGATTGAGTTTTTTGCATTTATTTAACAACAATTAGATTAAATGTAGTCTATATTTAAAAATAAAATAAAAATCACAGTGCTCTGGAGTGTTGTTAATATTTCTAAAGAACGCTTCTCTGCATACTAAATAATTCTCTTTCCTCCCCGTCTGCTGCAGGTTCCTCTCCGGTAAATGTACGGTTTACAAGCTGTTCGGGCTGTGCATGGTGCTGCTGCTCGTCTCTCTGCTCTGGCTCCAGCTCAGCTGTTCGGGGGAAATGTCCTCCCCGCTGCACGAGGAGCGCCGCCCCCCCCCCACAGCCCCCCTGCCCCCCCACCAACAGACAGGCGGAGGACGACCCCTCGTGGGGTCCTCACAAGCTGGCCCTCATCGTGCCCTTCAGGGAGCGCTTCGACGAGCTGCTGGTGTTCGTGCCCTTCATGCACGACTTCCTGAACAAGAAGAAGATCCGCCATAAGATCCTCGTCATCAACCAGGTGGACCACTACAGGTGAGGGGGCGCTTTAGTGTCACGGGGAATGATTTACAAGGTAACAACAAAATAACCGATTTATCCTCAGACATTTAAATTTAAAATGTACTTCGATCTCAGAGAATATAATGAATCATCATTCATTCAGTTGTTATAACACTACAGCGGAGGGGACGCTTTAGTTTTACAGGAAATTATTCATTAAATGATATCTCATAAATCTATTAATTGAACCCGGTCGACACTGGAGTAGTTTAGGGGGAAGTGTCCTTCACAAAGGCATGTGGACTGCAGTCTATCTGAAGATTAGCGCACTGCGCCACAGCCACCCCTTCATTCCAGAAAACATCCCATACATGCTTCTAAGTGCACCACTTTCCTCTCAGAGAATATCCAAAGACGTGTACACATCTAAAATCCCAGTGGTATAATATATGCATGTGTATTTCCGGTCAGTCAGTAGATTTCTGGCTTTATCTGTTGTTTTGAACATTGCAGACTGAAGCTCAGCGCTGACTTTTCAGTTCGTCCAAAAACAATTACCTCGGTTTTGTCTTTGTTTAAATGACGAAAGTTCTGACACAAACAGTCATTAAAAGCAAGAGAGCAAAATAAACATAAAACAAGCATACAGCAACTCTGGTATGAAATGCATGAGTAGAAGTTACAGTGCGGTGTGAGATATGAGTAGTTTCATTATAAGCAGCGGTGAAAAGAAAAGTCTTCAGCCTGGACTTAAAAGAGAGTTGCATTAGACGTTGTGTTCTTGCTCCAGGTTTAACCGAGCGTCCCTGATCAACGTGGGCTTCCTGGAGAGCGGCAACGACACAGATTACCTGGCGATGCACGACGTCGACCTGCTGCCGCTCAACGAGGCTCTGGATTACGGGTTCCCCTCCGAGGGGCCGTTCCACGTGGCGTCGCCCGAGCTGCACCCCCTGTATCACTACAAAACCTACGTGGGGGGGATCCTCATGCTCACCAAGAAACACTACCACATGGTACTGAACACACACAGGGATATACAGTTTACTTCAAAGTCACTTAAAGGTCCCCTATTATAGTGTTTTCATCCATATATCACAGGTCTCAGGTATATACAGAGCCTGTCTCTGATTGGCTGAAACACCAAACAGATCATTGCAGCATTACCCATAATCCCCTCTGTTTCAGCCCTGTTTCCAAAGTGCTGATTCTCTGTCTGTTACTTTAGATGAAAATAAGGAGCCCCTCCCCACGCCCCTCAGAGAGACATTTGGTTACAAAGAACTCAATGGTGCTCTAGGAGGAGATTCAGGTGATAAGGGGGGGGGGTTACCTTGGTTGCTGATTGGCTGATGGTTACACAAGACAAAACATCGTTATGACATCATAAAGTGGTAAAAAGTGGATTTTGCACAATAGGTGACCTTTAAAGGACAAAAAGTAACATTTGTCTGCACATTAAAGGTCCCCTATTATGCAAAATCCACTTCTTCATGTCTCTTCTACATCAACATGTGTCCCCTCTTCTTCATGTCTCTTCTACATCAACATGTGTCCCCTCTTCTTCATGTCTCTTCTACATCAACATGTGTCCCCTCTTCTTCATGTCTCTTCTACATCAACATGTGTCCCCTCTTCTTCATGTCTCTTCTACATCAACATGTGTCCCCTCTTCTTCATGTCTCTTCTACATCAGCATGTGTCCCCTCTTCTTCATGTCTCTTCTACATCAACATGTGTCCCCTCTTCTTCATGTCTCTTCTACATCAACATGTGTCCCCTCTTCTTCATGTCTCTTCCATCAACATGTGTCCCCTCTTCTTCATGTCTCTTCTACATCAACATGTGTCCCCTCTTCTTCATGTCTCTTCTACATCAACATGTGTCCCCTCTTCTTCATGTCTCTTCTACATCAACATGTGTCCCCTCTTCTTCATGTCTCTTCCACATCAACATGTGTCCCCTCTTCTTCATGTCCTCTTCTACATCAACATGTGTCCCCTCTTCTTCATGTCTCTCTTCATCCAGCATGTGTCCCCTCTTCTTCATGTCTCTTCTACATCAACATGTGTCCCCTCTTCTCCATGTCTCTTCTACATCAACATGTGTCCCCTCTTCTTCATGTCTCTTCTACATCAACATGTGTCCCCTCTTCTTCACGTCTCTTCTACATCAACATGTGTCCCCTCTTGGGTGAGACATGTTCTGTATATCTGAGACCTATAATATATGGTTGAAAAAGAGTAAAATAGGGGACCTTTAACTTAAATCCAACAGCTAAAGAAATACATATATTATAATTTTTTAACAATATAAATAAATAGGATAATATGTACATAATAATTCAAAATAAAATATTGATTATTCCCCAAACATTTTTTTTGCACATTTAAACAAATCGGACAGAAAAAAAATCACAGACATGTATGTGAATATATATCTAAGGCTTTTACTTTTATATATTTAGCATATTAATGGTACTGCACAAATAAAATAATTGATTTGATAATTGACAGAAACAAAATGACAGTAATATAAATATATAATGATTTGCTTAAAGGTGGGGTAGGTAGGAATGGAGAAACCAGCTCGAGTGCCCCTTCCTTCAGACTTCCTCACAGAGCCCCTCCTCCAACACACACGAACGCGCACATGACCAATGAGGGCACGGGATAAGTTTGTGCACAGATGGAAGGCTGACAGGCAGGTAGGCCATCCAGTTACTTTAGCCGGCTCAGATGATTGGTCGAGCTTTTTACAGCGCCACGGCTTCCACAGATGATATTTTGTTATGTATTTATTGTCAAAGCACTTAAGATATTCATTGCTATCGGGATGTTAAGAGCATTCCATGGAATATAACAAGTGTTTCTGAAGTGAATTACCTACCCCACCTTTAAGGTTTTTGAGATTGAGCAAAATCTTGAGCAATTGCGAGCATTAATCCGTTAACTTTGACTTCCCTAAAATACAAGCGAAAGGGGAAGACAGTTTGAGCAACCGGCTCTTTTTCTGCTGAATCACAATCTTAGTTCAGTTTGAATCCATTTTTCTCATCAGCACAAAGTCTACCTTGTTATCTCTCATGAAGAAATAAAATAACATTTCATTTTGTTTTCTTATTTCCAGTGTAACGGGATGTCGAACAGGTTCTGGGGTTGGGGACGAGAAGACGACGAGTTCTACAGAAGACTGAGGAAAGCCGAGTTACAGGTAAAAAATCAACATGTGGATTGTATTTCATTCAGGAGAGACTTAGTTCGTAGTTAACATATTTATTGCTTTATGAACAATAACGTTTTTGAGATTAGACCCCATAATACTGTGATGAATTAAGGGGGAGGAGAAGCCGACTAGAAAAGAGAAACCCCCCCGGGGTCTAGACAGGTGGTGAAGAACTAAAGGGAAATACAAATCCGGAGTGATGAGGGTTCTTCTGGGCTAGCCTGCCTTGGATCTGATGAGACTGGAGGTGGAGGAGGGTTGCATCAATTCTCCTGAACGATGCTGGCAGGGGAGAGAAAGAGCAGATTTAAACGTTTGCCGGGTGTGCTGTGATTGGCTGTGGGGATGAGACGCAACCGGTTGGTTTAGCTGGGGGTATCTTGCGCCCTTGCTTATTGCAAGAAAGAATTGTGAATGAGAGCGTGGGAACCAGTCTTCGTGAAAGAACTTGCGCTGAGCTTCATTTGGACATCATAAGCACAAACATACAGAATTGCAACTTTCACATACTTTATGTCTTACAATCTTTCTGTATTGAAAATGAGACATTACTAGTAGGGTGGTCCTTAAAAGTGAAAGTGGGAAAGTCTAAGCTCCAACCTCTTCTTGACTAATAGAATGAATTCTGGGGGTTGGAGCTTAGACTTTCCCACTTTCAATTTTAAGGACCACCCTACGTGAGGCTAAACTTCAAGGTTGAAGAGGGAGGGGTAAATAGGCGCTTTCACACCGGAGTACTTTTCCCCGTACTTTTCTCGTTTAGTTCCGATAGTTCCTGGGATTTTGCGTTCACACCAAAGAGAGAACTTAGTTCATGAGAATATTTCTCCCCTTTTCAGTCCCTGCTAGAGAGCAGGTACTTTCCTGGGGAGAAAAAAGTTCCAATTTCTGATTGGCTGGGCGAATGCAAACCACGCCCTGTAAAACTCGGAAAAGTTTTGTGAAGCCGCCATTGTATTTGCTGGCATTAGCATTATTAGCATTAGCCCCGCGCACCAATGGAGAGTAGAAGCCAGTCCCCAACTCCGGGGACTTCCGGACGGGGACTTCGGGTGGCAGTATACATTACGCCTGCCAGTAAACCCAAAGCAGAAGAAGAAGAAGTGACGTCAGCGGCTTCATTTGCGTAATCTTCCCTCAGGAACTTATTCCGGTGTGAACGCGATCAGCTCTTTCGTTCCATGGGGGAACTAAGTGCTGGCACGAAGTGCTGGGAACTAAGTGCTGGCACGAAGTGCTGGGAACTAAGTGCTGGCACGAAGTGCTGGGAACTAAGTACGGCAAAGTACTTGGTGTGAAAGCGGCTATTGTTGTTGGAATTTGAATAAAATTCACCAAGAGAGTTTTCTTGACTATCTTAACGAATTCCGGTGGTTGGAGCTTAAAATAAATGAATTTGAAAATGTACATGGCACTAAGGACCACCCTATAGGCCAGTGTACACAGACTGGTCGTCGTGCGAAACCAATACAGAGATAATTGACAAGACCAAAAGTACAAAGTAAAGCAGACAAAACTTGCATAGTCATAAATAATAACAATTAAGGGGAGAGAAGAATAAACAAATGAATCAAGATAACATGGTAAGTTTAGGGGACTTGATCATATTGTATGAAGTGTATACTAGCAGGGGCATCACAGGCCTCCATCTCTTTTAAAAATGTCGTTTTCTGAAGCCGTATGGCATATGTGATTTCCTCCATTTCGTATAACTCCCAAAACTTCGTTTCACGTTGGAGGTTCAGGTTTCAACCATCTAAACGTGATGCGCTTGAGGGCTGCCGCTAAAAGGATTTGTAGCAAAGTTCCCTCTGCCAGCAACCCCTTCAGGGAGTGCTCCAAGGAGAGCGACTCTGAGCAAACTTGTATTGTGTTGGTTTTGTTGGTAAGGAAACAAGGATATTGTTCTGACATTGCTATGTAACATTGGAGGAGAATTGGTCAGAGAGGCAATGATATATTACATCTAAAAACAGCTTGTTTACAACAACATTTTTGTCTCAGTTTTTATGATAAAACCAAAGCTTCATTTAGTGATTTAAGGTGCATTTTGTGTCCATTTTTTAAGATATCTGTGTTGTTTTTTCAGCTCTTCAGGCCGAGCGGCATCACGACGGGATATAAAACATTTCTCCACATCCACGACTCGGCCTGGAGGAAAAGAGACCAGAAGAGAATCGCCTCTCAGAAACAGGTACGAGAAAAGTGCAAATGTATCTCTCAAATTAATAATAATAATAAATGTTATTTTTAAAACACCTTTCTACAAGAGGCATGATAGAAAGGCTTTTTTTAAAGAAAGTTTTTAGTCTTAAATGTCATCTTTAGTGGCATTTAAGTTTATTAAAAAATCTTATAACACTGTGAAAGCATCTTGTAATCTGTTGATTTAAATTATTATTATAGTAAAACTAAATCAGGAAAGCTGCTCAAAACTCACCAGAAATAATACAAAGCAAACACTTTAATAAATACATCTGTTGGCTATGACTCAGATCAACTCCGCTGCATCACTCTCGGTGTTATAAGAAGAAATATAATAGTATATATCTTGAAAAGCATTGAATGCAGCGCTACTGTTTGAAATACAATACTAACATGTTTTAATCCCCCCCCCAGAAAAATAGGGAAAAGTAAAAAGTCATGATACAAAATCTGTGAAATAAATTATAAGAGACGGTTATAAAATATTGAATAAAGGATAAATAAAAATAATAGTCAAAGTACAACATCTCTTAAAAAATACATTTCAAAAAGCATTTCAATTAAATACAATTATAATTTTTCAGAAATGTTTTAAAACATAATGATCCCCCCCCCAAAAGTAAAACTCTCCTGAAGTGGCCTTGAAACAAGTCTTACATCTCCATTACCTTACGCTTTGAGAGCCTTCAATTAAAAATGTGATTATGCTGCTAGTAAACTGTTTAAACGATAAATAATTAATTGCATTTTTTTAATTAAATAGAATATGTTGGCTGTGACTCACGTGGTAAAATAAATATTAGAAAATATAATATTATATATCGTTAAAAAGCATTGAATTCATTGGTCTAAAAAAATCTGAATATTCCTTAATCTGTGTCATAAATCAATCTTTAAGTTATAACTTATTAAATAAATAAAATGTTAAATAAAAGAATATTCATAATCACTCCCGTGTGAAACAATATATTATAAACTTTTATTAATATAAAAGTTTAAGAAAAACATAAATAAAATGTAAAACTCTAAATTCTATGAAATAAAATAGCCATACTACATAAACATATATATATATATATAAATATATATAAAATGAAACATTTCCAATAAAAGAAACAAAAATGCTCATATAAAAATAACATTTAAATAAAAGAAATGATCTTAACTCTTCCTCCCCCTCTTCCTCCCCCTCCCCCTGCAGGAGCAGTTTAAGGTGGATCCGGAGGGGGGTCTGTCGAACCTGCGGTACGAGGTGGAGTCGAGGCGGGACCTGAGCATCAGCGGCGCTCCGTGCACCGTCATCAGCGTGCGCCTGCAGTGCGACACGGACCTGACGCCCTGGTGCCTCCTCACTTAGACACCCACCATCTAACGGTCAGATTTTAAAATCCCGCGATGACGCTCCGATCGTTTCTACGCAAGCGCTGGTCGTGGTTCCAGACTCTCTCCTTTAAAGCAAAGGAAACCACGACCTGGGAAACGAGAAACGTCTTTATTATTATCAGGTACATCTCAACGATAAAACTGCTGATTTACAACGACTAAGAAAAACCTTCGGGTGGTTTTCAAACTTTTAATTTATCGACTTTTAGCAGGAGAAACCTCAGTGCTCGGACACGGACTTCAGCACCAAACCACAGCTGTATTATGTTATTGTTTTGGGGATCATTGTTACATTTCAAAACTAACATCTAAAGGGTTTCATGGTATTCGTTTGTGTGCCTGCTGGTGAAATGCAGAGGGAGGAAGCAGTAAGTATGTTTTTTGTTCTTGTCCATCTTAAACAAAACTCGCCAAAGATATAAAAAGAAAATGTATGAAATCTGGATTTTGCATTTAAGTGAAAACCTCCCCAAATGTGTTTTTTCTTAGAATCAAAGAACTGTTTCAAGACTGAAAAGGAATGAGGAAAAATTGTTGCTGCACGAAGCGGAAATAGGAAACGTCGAAATATTGATTGATCTTTATCACCAGGTACATCTGTACGGTGGCCCACAGGTGCAAACCAAGCCCCCAGGAAGTGCGCCGGACTCTGAGGAAAATATTCGTTGGGGCCAAACGGCGGTACTACAACCTCCGTATCAGTCCGTGACGTCACTGGGCCCAGAAAGACTTTTTCCCATTGACTAACATGGGGAAAGAGACGTCTGTAAATCAGCGGATATTTTTTTTTAAACTAAATAAACTACCCAGTAGGAACTATTTTATAGCCCTAAAGATACATAAGGTCCTTAAAGTTGTGAAATGCATTAAAAACCGAATCCAGATTTATTTTCTGTCTCCATTCGTTCTACTGAGCCGAGTGGGAGCTCGGGGCGGGGCTAGCTCTGACAGCTAGGCATGCTGGGTAATCTGTGACGTTTCGCTCTCTCAAAAATTGGGCCATTTTGTCCTCATGCGCCAATGAGCAGCTCTCATAGGAAAGAACGAGACCCCGCCTCCCACGCTGTATCCAGTTCTTATTAAACATCCATGGTGCAAACGTGCTACAACGACCCGAACACTTCCATTAGGAGAAACGCGCTCTACTTACAAAACAAATGTGGTTCACACGCAAATGAACAAACAACAACTTTACAACACATGCTGCGATAAGCTCAGAACACAGCGGAAACCAGGGCACTCTTAAAATAATATCAGAAGGAATCGTGTAGCGTGGAGGAGGGTGGCGCAGTGGGTTGTGCGCAGGTGTTGGGGTCAGGGGGGCACAGGTTCAAACCCCACTGCAGTCCGCATGTCGTCGTGTCCCTGACGGCCCGTCCACACTACAGCTTCGACAGCTTCAAAAACGGTTTCCAACGCGTCTGCCCATTCACTTTGAATGGGGTGACGTCACTTTTCGCCGAACTGCATTGTGGGAAGCAGAGCAGAGCTTTCCTGGCGTTTCAGGCTGCACAAGTTGAGCAATGTTCAACTTCTGAAGCTTCTGAAGCTTTCGGTGGAAGCGTCAGCCAATCAAATCATATGCCAGTACAAGCTCTAGCCAATCAAACCGCTGCTTGTGTGTCAGGGGCGGGAGATTCATGTGATTGGTTGTTGGTCGAGCTTCAGACACGCCCAGCTCCAAGCCTTTTTTGAAGCTGTAGAGTGGACGGGCCGTCAGACACTTCACCCCAAAGTGCTCCTGTGGGGATTGCCCTCAGTATCGAGTACGTAAGTCCCTTTGGATAAAAGCGTCCAACAAGTGACATGTAATGTAATGTAATGTAATGTAGCTACCTTGTTAAAATAAGCTAATTAAATCTACATCTTAGGTCGGTTTCCAACAACGGTTGTCCAACTTTATCATCCCCGAACGTCAACAAGCGCTGCGTCACTTTTTAGTGTCTCCGTTTGCCCATTTTTTGTATGAGATGTCTCTTCATGTGTTTTGGCATATTTGTGTTTTTATATCTGCATCGTTTCTGAAGCCGCAGCCTATTGGAAATGTTCTGGGTCGCTTGCACCTGTGGGCCACCGTACCTCTCAACAATAACTGATTTAAAAGAGAGTGGATTAAAAAACCTCCGGATGCTTTTCAAACGGCATTTAGCAGGACGCACCTCAGTGACAGACGTTCGCTGCATCATTGTGTTTTGTAACTGGGATGCAAAGAGCAGTGCTTTGTAATGGATCTGCCAAACATGCATCATACTGTCGGTTAAAGGGTTGATTTAAGCTTTTGTAAAGTGAGTACTAACATCAACCGTGTCTCATGTTGTTTTTATTTGCCTGCTTTTTTTTATTTTGGATTTAAGAGCAAGCCCATCTTTAAAATAACTCCAAAGAAAATATTGCAAAATGTATTCGATCTGAATTTATGTATTTATTTAGGTACATCTCAACATCTTATTATTGTGTTTATTATCTTACTGGGAGTGATTTGAGATGCATCTGCCAAACATGCGTCGACTGTAACGTTAACATAACAGGACGACAACAACAAAGTAAACCCTTTAACGGTTAACGGGTTGACTTTGTTGTCCACGACGGAGGCTCTTTTTGAAATGTACTAACTAGAAAAGTATATTAAGTTTGATTGTCCTGCTGTTGAAGTGAGGAAGAAGCAGTAAGTATTTTTATTTTGTTTGTCTATCTTTCAAATATTTCTCCAAAGAAAAATGATGTATTGTGTGATTTATTTTATTTTTTTCAGACCTGTCAAACTCTTAAAAAGGCCCTATTGTGCTTTTAGGGGTTCTCCCTTCTCCTGGAGTGTGTTATGTAGGTTTTAGTGCATGTTAATGGTCTGAAAAGGCAAAGTTTCTCTCCCACACACTCTGCCTGAAACGCCTCCTTTGGACTCCTTTCTTTACTTCTGTAACATAGTGACATCCCTTTGTAACACTCATGCTCCTATTGGCTAGCGCTCCAACACATTGTCCGTGATAGGCTAAGGGGCGGGACATCTCTAAGCTGGTTGACTAATCACAACAGCGGGCCAGCTAACCAATCAGAGCAGACTGGGCTCTGGTTTCAGACAGAGGGTGAAAAGAGGTGCTGCAGCACAGACAGTATGAGACACATAAAGAGATCTTTGAACATTAAAGCATGAAGACATGTAGAGACACTACATACTGATATACACCTGAACATCAGCAGGAGAGGACTCTTTAAAGTAGAGACACTACATACTGATATACACCTGAACATCAGCAGGAGAGGACTCTTTAAAGTAGAGACACTACATACTGATATACACCTGAACATCAGCAGGAGAGGACTCTTTAAAGTAGAGACACTAAATACTGATATACACCTGAACATCAGCAGGAGAGGACTCTTTAAAGTAGAGACACTAAATACTGATATACACCTGAACATCAACAGGAGAGGACTCTTTAAAGTAGAGACACTAAATACTGATATACACCTGAACATCAGCAGGAGAGGACTCTTTAAAGTAGAGACACTACATACTGATATACACCTGGACATCAGCAGGAGAGGACTCTTTAAAGTAGAGACACTAAATACTGATATACACCTGAACATCAACAGGAGAGGACTCTTTAAAGTAGAGACACTAAATACTGATATACACCTGAACATCAGCAGGAGAGGACTCTTTAAAGTAGAGACACTACATACTGATATACACCTGGACATCAGCAGGAGAGGACTCTTTAAAGTAGAGACACTACATACTGATATACACCTGAACATCAGCAGGAGAGGACTCTTTAAAGTACAGACATGACATACTGATATACACCTGAACATCAGCAGGAGAGGACTCTTTAAAGTAGAGACACTACATACTGATATACACCTGAACATCAGCAGGAGAGGACTCTTTAAAGTAGAGACACTACATACTGATATACACCTGAACATCAGCAGGAGAGGACTCTTTAAAGTAGAGACACTACATACTGATATACACCTGAACATCAGCAGGAGAGGACTCTTTAAAGTAGAGACACTTACATACTGATATACACCTGAACATCAGCAGGAGAGGACTCTTTAAAGTAGAGACACTACATACTGATATACACCTGAACATCAGCAGGAGAGGACTCTTTAAAGTAGAGACACTACATACTGATATACACCTGAACATCAGCAGGAGAGGACTCTTTAAAGTAGAGACACTACATACTGATATACACCTGAACATCAGCAGAGAGGACTCTTTAAAGTAGAGACACTACATACTGATATACACCTGAACATCAGCAGGAGAGGACTCCTTTAAAGTAGAGACACTATATACTGATATACACCTGAACATCAGCAGGAGAGGACTCTTTAAAGTAGAGACACTACATACTGATATACACCTGAACATCAGCAGGAGATGGACTCTTTAAAGTAGAGACATACATACTGATATACACCTGAACATCAGCAGGAGAGGACTCTTTAAAGTAGAGACACTACATACTGATATACACCTGAACATCAGCAGGAGAGGACTCTTTAAAGTAGAGACACTACATACTGATATACACCTGAACATCAGCAGGAGAGGACTCTTTAAAGTAGAGACACTACATATGATATACACCTGAACATCAGCAGGAGAGGACTCTTTAAAGTAGAGACACTACATACTGATATACACCTGAACATCAGCAGGAGAGGACTCTTTAAAGTAGAGACACTACATACTGATATACACCTGAACATCAGCAGGAGAGAACTCTTTAAAGTAGAGACACTACATACTGATATACACCTGAACATCAGCAGGAGAGAACTCTTTAAAGTAGAGACACTACATACTGATATACACCTGAACATCACCGGGAGAGGACTCTTTAAAGTAGAGACACTACATACTGATATACACCTGAACATCAGCAGGAGAGGACTCTTTAAAGTAGAGACACTACATACTGATATACACCTGAACATCAGCAGGAGAGAAACCTTTAAAGTAGAGACACTACATACTGATATACACCTGAACATCACCGGGAGTGGACTCTTTAAGTAGAGACACTACATACTGATATACAAACCTGAACAATCAGCAGGAGAGGACTCTTTAAAGTAGAGACACTACATACTGATATACACCTGAACATCAGCAGGAGAGAACTCTTTAAAGTAGAGACACTACATACTGATATACACCTGAATTGAGAATGATAGTGTCCCTTTAAATCAACATTTATCAAGAAATGAAACCTCAACGCACAACAAAAAGATGAACAACAGGCAGAATCAGATCCGCTCTGGTACAGATGTGGTTTTTGGGGACGATCCAAAGACAAAGAGACGATGAACTTCTCCCCCCCCCCCCCCCCCCCCCCCCCCCTCTCCATCACCACCATAGCTGTTTCCCCCAGGGTACAATTTTCACCTTAAGTCTGAGGTGACTGCGATGAAACACCTCGCCTCTGCCACAAATAGAATCGCCGCAGCTTCGTGCTAATTTTTAATTTCCCCACTGTGATT